AAGACAGCACAGTCAGTGGCTCTCTCTCCCTAGTGCTACCACATCCGCACATCATTAACTGGAAAATTCCTGATATATGCTGTAATTTTTTCTCTTTTTTTCCTCCTCTTCCTCTTCCCGTCGCTGGTAGAGACGAGGCTTAAAGATCCAGATGCTAGTACGTCTGTGTGCTCAGGAACCCCCAAGCACACCACCACTCTTTTCCTAAATTAGAGCAACGTTTGGAGACGATTAGCAATTAAATCAGTAAATGGTAGTGCATCAGGTATGGCCAGAATAAACACACACATCCATCTATCTATCTGCCCCTCTGCTCCAGCAGGCCACAGTCAAAGCACAGAGGAATGGATTTTCCTTTTTTCCCATGCGGAGCCATTTGAGCAGATATCTAAACATTCCCAGAGAGTGCTGCACGTGCTCCCATGTGTGCTCCACACTGCCCCCTCTTCCGACGATCTACTGCTGCCTGCCGTTCTTTCGGTCAGTGCAGAGCAGAGACACATTGTGTGACAAAGGATTACATTTACCGACACCAGTGTCCAGTTCACATTGTCATCGCAGCCGCGCTGCTTTTGTAGGTTATTAATTGCAAACAAGTCTCAACACGAGACCAAAGCTTGCCTGCGTGATATGCTGTGAGATTTTATCTGTAGTCATCATGTGTGCAAACATATGAAACAGAAAAAACCCTTCAGCTCATAGTTTGCCTTTAACTGTGACAATTTTCTCAGTCAAACCAGGGCCCAAGGTGGGAAACCCCTCCACTGTGGAAATGTAAATACAGACAGAGTAGAGTCTGACTGCTCTTAAGCTTTCTGTTATACTGTTCCTCTGCTGTTGGGAGACCAGGAAGGAAATCTGATTTCAATTTGTTTAATGTCGTCTGAGATATGGGTGTCTTATTTTGGTAAACTCAGTGGGAGGCCTTTAAATAGAACAAAGCACGGGGATAAACTGTGGAAAGTCCTTTGATCAGGTAACACTGTTTGTTGTGACACCAAACAACAGAGCTCATTGACTAAGACAGTAATAGACAATAAGCTCTTCTTTTTCCTGTGGTAGCTAATTCACTGTGCCTGGCAGTGCTCAGCAATGACAATGGCGTTCATCACAACGGTGAATATGGAAGGCAAGTTAAGTTGACGTCTTCACAACTTTAAAGAATGAATGAGCAACCGACATATCAAAAGCCATGTTAAGACCAAGGGAGTTAAACTGAGGAAATTCAACATACTGTACATGACTAACCATATTTCACCTTTTGTTAATTAAAGTGACAACTTTGTTGTTTAGAAATGCTGGAGTACAAGTGTTAAGATCAGATTAGTGGCCAACCCCTGGAGTTTTTTTTTTCTTAATTCAATTGGACAAGCAAATACACACACATGACTGAGGCCTTGAACTAATGGCTTTCATGAGACTTAATCAGCAATGTATGATAACGATTGTCAGATATGCATTCACGGTAAGGATGAAAAGGTCAGCATGGCCAGGTCACTAGAGGTTGTGGGCGACTTAACCCAATTTCCAGTCACTGACAAGTCAACTACTCTTATAATACCTCTACAGAGAGATTTCTGGAAACCCCAGGACGCTGAGATAGAACTAGAGCCATTATAAACTCTTAACAGATCATTTTCCCATCAATCCCTAATGTGTCAAATGAATGCACTGTAAATTATAAATCATGTTACCACTAATCTGTGGGCCATGTTGACACTAATTAACAACTAGACCTTTTCTTTACTGACTGTGAGCTCCTGCAACCGCGTGCTGTGTAAATTTCAGCGTCCAACAACTGGACACAGCGAAACACGCTTGTTGTTGGTTATCAGCGTTGCATTCTACACTCGTTGCTGGTGCTCAGGTCTTAAAAACCAATCTACTTTAGCTTAGTTTGTGCCGCCTTATCTAAGAAGCAGGGGCAGCCTTTTAAGACAAAATGAACACCAATTGTGTTTTAAGAGCACAAATAGAAGAGGTTAGTGTGCACGACGACCGTGTCCGGAGCAGCTGGTGTGAGAAACAAAAACGTTAGTGTCTTCGTAGCCTCTGTGTCTTGTCTCATGCATGTTTTTATGACTTGGCTGATCAGTTGGTGCTTCCTCTTTGTGAAAGAAGGTACACTGTGTTGACTCTGTCGCTGATTACATCTTTGAGTGTGAACTCGCAGTAAATGAATGCGATTCGAGACCACAAGAAGATCTGTGAGTATGGGACACACAGCAAGAGCTTTATCATCACTTTATTTCACTAGAAACTAGATCTAGTGTCAGAAATAGATAATCTAATATAAATTCATCTCAACTGAAGCTTCTTATTCACCAATGTTATTAAAGGTGCCTTGTTTTTCTTTTCCTTCTTCTTCTTCTTCTTATAGTTTTTCTCTTTTGTTTAATATTAATCCAAGTAAAAGAACGGAAACTTTGTTCGTCTATCAGGCTCTTTGATCAAACCGACCCAACTCTGTGTTCAAATCCTAATAAGTCATCTTTTAAAGCCGGGTTAAACAAACACTGCAGACTCTGGGATTGTATTTTGTTTTAACATTTGCTGTAGCATTCGTTTCAGATTCGAAGGACATCAAAGGAAACGGCTTTTGTCTAAAGTGCCTTAGCAGAAATGGGATCTCAGTGGGGTGGACTAAGGAAAAGACCCCGCTCCTCTTCTCCTGGTATGTCAGATTAACACACACGGCTTTTCCCATCTGCCCGTCACTCACGGCACTACAATACACTTTAGACAGACCGGGGTCATTAAAAAACCATCAACAAAGCAACAAACCTCTCGGGACCGTCAGGATCGGCATAATCTGGACCCCCCTACTAACCCAATGGGTGGTCCGTCTGCCCGTTTCTCTCTCTCTCTGGAATTAAAAACTCTGTACATGGCAGGTTAAGCGATTAAGATAGGACCATAAACATGCACATGCAAGTGCACCCAGACAACTCACATTACTTCACACACATGCACACACCTAGACCACATTTTTGTCTGTAACATATTAACAAGGCAGCATGTGTTGCTAGGTGAAAAGGCCAATGCATAATTAAAAGAGGTTCGACAATTGTCAGCTAAAAGTGCCACAGTGTTACTTTCAGTAAGGAGCGCCGGGACAGAGAAGCAGAGACGGGGACTCTTTTGGACAACGTTATGCAAATGCTCAGTTCAGCGATCGTGTCATTCTAGAAGTGCTAAATGAATCATTTGAAAGTAAGAGAGAAGTGTCTTGTTCGCTTAAGCAACAGCAATTCTCCTCAGCCCATCTGTCTGCCAGTAACAGCGGCATTAGTTGACTAAATAAGTAACTGCTGGTCTGTTGGGCAAAGGGGAAGATCCGCTTAGGCGGTGTGTTCATGAGTGCCTGTGTGTGTGTTTGATATGTGTGTGAATGTGCACTGCATGGTGCAGTGTAGCAGATCTGCTTTAGTAACAAGAGGAAACAATGAATGGATGAATGCAGATTGTACGTGCGTGCGTGTGTGTGTGTGTGTGTGTGTGTGTGTGTTGGATAGAAAGGGGGATTCCAGACACAGGAACGTTCATCCGGAACTGAAGATCCTGTGTGTGTGCACACACACACACACAGAAACACACACAACAAACTTCCATCTTTGTGGCCTTGCTGTACACTCAAGGAAGGAAACAAGCGCAAGTTTGTGTGCAAGCACATTTACATTCAAGTGGTATCGAGCTTATGAGTCTGCGCATTTGTGTGTGTATGAGCGTTTGTGTGATGTCTGTGTCTGTGTGTGCGGTTTTAAGGACTTGGTATCTGCCACTCATTTCTTAACATTCTTCAACACACCGTGGAATCACCTAGTCATAAATTAAGTACAACTGTTTAAAAGCAAGAAGTCGGCTGAAACCACACATTGCATAACATATAAACTGTTTGGTTAGGTATGACTTCCTCTGAGAGTTAGCTGTAAATTAACATAACCATAAGTTAGGGACAGATACTGGGAAAACACGTAATTAAAAAAAACCCTGAGAGAATATATTTGGGTTCAACAGACTTTTCTTAAAATCAAACACAACACACCAATATGTTGGACCAAGACTTTCTCCTTATTTCAGCCTCCTTCCAAAGACTCCTTTCAGAGTCTCTCTCTATACTATCTGGTCATCAGAGCCCAGGGTTCAACAGTTGGACATCAAAGTACCGACACCGGGGAGGGAGGGCTAGCTGTCTCTCTTCGTCTGTTCCATCCCTGTCTCTGACAACCACTGATGGATTCCTGAGACAGGCCGTGGGGGCCCGTGGCTCTCACTTTACACAGAGAAACCCTCTCATTTGGACCAGTGCTTCACAGCTAGCCACTGATGCCCCGTAAGTGCCCGCTATATCACATTAGCCGCTCTTCATCTCACTCTGGGGAGATTGGTCGGTTAGTTCAAGGGAGCGTGTTCCTTTGTGTGCGACTGTGAGTATGAGCGCACACGCCTGGAAAAGCCATAATGTGAATAAGTGCTGTCAATGTAGTACTTGACACAAGTCATGCACACATATGTACTAAGGACACTTTCCATTTGAATTACTGTTGTGATGAAGAAACTAGGGCACAGAGTAGTCATAGATCAAGTTCTTGTATATTTAAAAAAAGAAAACTCCCCCTGCTGCAGTATCTGTCGCCTAAAGCTTGTGGGAATGACAGGTTCTATTAAAAATAATAAAAATCAGCTAATAAACCAAATCATAACTAAAAAAAAACTAATACAAAAGTGAAACTTAATGCCTCTGGGTTATGGTGACATAAGTGTTGATGAATGCAGAAGTAAATTTAATATCCGTCAAAGTAGACATGTCTTCATGTTTGACGGGTGCCATTACAGTTCCAACGAATTATTAATAATATTACTGAACATTATACTTCCAGGTCCGTACTGTGCGTATGGTAAGAATAACCCAGTTGCAGCATATTTTGATCCACTTGTCATCGGCACCTGGTTTGAAACTGTGAACTGAGAAACAAATACATTTGAACCGTGTCACTCACCACAGAGGTGAGAGCCATCTGGAAACTGTAGATTCGAGCCAGACCAAAGTCGGCCAGTTTGATCTGTCCACCGCTGGTGACCAGGATGTTCTGTGGCTTCAGGTCACGGTGGACCACACGGTGGGAGTGCAGGAAGTCGAGCCCCTGGAGAAGTTGGTACATCATATCCTGGAAGAGGCCAGAAAACAGGTGGAACATTGTTATCACGGTGACCAAAATAATAGGGGGAAAAAATATATATGTAATAGAAAGAACACAGAGCAGATGGTTTTAAATGATTTAGAAAAATTCAAACAGACCTCCTGAATTGAATTTCCTTAAATGTTTTTACTATTTTTCACTAAAATGTTCGAAACAGATGGTTTTGTGATCTTTAACCTTGAGGACAACATCTGAATAAATTTCTCCGTAATGGACGGGACAATAGGTCTGTATGAAACGTGCAGTGAGAGGGAAGGAGTTAACTGAAGAGGGCCCATCTTTTTTGTTGACTGTGGCAGATGTTTGATAACCGACACACACACACTTTTTCACACACAGACAGACAGACACACTAAGGCCGAGAGAAGCTGGGCATGGATTTGTTTCCCAGCAGCTGT